TTGTCCAGCTGAATCCCTCTGAAGACCACACCCACCCTTCCTTTCTCTGGGCAATGTTAGTTAATCCCAGTTCAGGTCCTAATTATGGTCTTTTTTTTTTCTTTTTTTTTTTGGCGAAATAGCCCTTGTGTAAGCCCTCTATTCTGGCGGCGGTAAGAGAACCGTCAGAACTGAGGTCTTATCTGTCGGGCTGCTCCATCTATTGCTGGGGAGCGGCACCTGCTGGAAACCGGGTCCAGCGTCCCATTGGTACATCTCGAATTACGGAGATTGCTGTTAATCTAGGGCCAATTGATTCCCCTTTGATTAGCTCCCCTGAAGGTTTACTCCTATCTTTGTATCAGCTACGGTAACCTCAAAAGAATCAGTTCGGTTTCTGTTCAGTTTTACTTCAAGTTTCAGTTCCACTTTATTGTAGCTTAGGGAGCTTGATTTCTGGAATGTCAGGTCTTGTGACTTTCTGCACGCTAAAGCCTGAGCTAAGCTGACTGATGCTGTCAGTATCCGGGTAGAATGGTAAGGCCTCTGGCCTCGTTTGGATATCGAAATGAATTGAGAGAATTTGAGACTGTTCAGAAGAGGGGAAAGGAAAGATGATGGTGATGGTGGTGGGGGGGGAGGGGAGGGCGGGAATCTCTTTTTTTGGGCCTGAAGGAGCATAGTTTGACTCCCAAATTGAGTGGACAGTTACTGCATATGATAGGTTACATCCAAGCAACGTACGAGCTTAACAAAGCTCTCGTTGCAGTGTCATGCACACGATGGAAACCTCAGAGTCGCTTCAAAAAGTTCAGTTTTCGAAAAGCAGGAATGTCCACAACAGACCCTAATAGATATGAAATTGCATCACTGTCCCTGTAAGACGTATCGTGACAGTGAGGATGGTCAGGTGCATGGATGTGGTCAACATCTTAGTGCACTATCATAAGCATTGGAAAGTCGGAAACCATCTGTTTTTTTTTTTTTTTTTTTTTTTTTTTTTTTTTAAACGAAAAGGCCCAGTGCCCAAGGCTCCAATTGCGAAATTGATTACAACGCTTATACGCACGACTCTTCCCATTAGGGCTGGAAGAGCCTCAGCCACTGCTCCCCTGGAGACAGCTTCCCTGCATATCACAAATGTAGCATTGTCACAGGGCATTGATTGCTTCTTCAGTGAGGAAGGATTAACCCCGTTGTGTGCAGAATCAATCTCTGCCCTACGAAACTCCTCAGTTATCCCTACTTCAATCTTCTACATGGTGAGGAGTAGGGGAGATATCAAAACAGCAAAGAGATTGATAACAGGGCAAGAAAGTTTAGTAGTTCATTAGTAATTACGACGAGCTTCCCCTAAACAGCAGCAGTTAAACACAGACACAAACCAAAAGGGAGCACAGTAGTTGGAAGAAAATTATAGTCTATATGTAAAGACCATCAAACCAAGTCAAACCCTAATCAATGACAACCGATTTGACCATTGCAATCTCTTATCTAAGGTTGCCCGCACCAACATGCCCCCCACGATCCTAATTTGGCAGCAAAACCACTCAAGTGGGGAAGGCACTGTTGCATTGTTGCAAAACAATTCAAAGCAAAATACCCACGTAGAAGGACACAAATCAATCGCATAAGCAGTCCTGATGCGTAACACCACTGCACCTCCTGCCCTGCCACGTGGTAGAAACCTATGTTTATAGCAAAAAGAATGTGCCCACCCGCAAACTGGTCAATCGAAGGTGCGCTCAAGTGGGAAAAAGTTGAAAAAAAGTCAAATCGCAATACCCATGTGGCAGAGCATAAATCAATAGCCTATGCAGCCCCAGTGCCGATCCTTACAGCACCTCCAGGCTCCTGCCCTGCCACGTGGCCAATACCTATGTGTATAGACACGTAGCAAAAGTTTAAATCGCCAATTCCACATGACAAATCACTGAACAACCACATGAGCAAACCCTACCCGCCCTGTTGGCACGTGGCCAAAGTCAGATGCGGTAAAGCCAACCAATCACGGACAACCCTATCCAACCCGGTCATCTGGCATTCATTATCCTACCCCTTCGCGCCACCATCCCACTCCTTGCTCCCCCGCACACCCTTCCACTTTACAGAACAATCCATTCCGCCCTTCCCCCCAATCACCACCCAAAAATCGGAAGAAGGAAAACAAGAGGGGAGGAGGAGGGGGGGGGGGGAGGAGGAAGAGAATGCCCAGTCACACTTGCCACACTGTCAGTATTGTTATTGTTATTGTTGTTGTTGTTGTTGTTGTTGTTGTTGTCACTCCCGGATGTGCACGAGCTCATGATCACTCCTTTTATGCCACTGTCGTGCACAGTATTATTGTTGTTGTTGTTGGTGGTGGCCTGTGCAGATATCGGCGTCTTAGTCGCAGGCACTATTGGTATGATTGATTTCGCTGATGTCATCGTCGTTTGCGCCATCTCTGTTCTTGAACACCCCAAGTCATGTGCACTCATCGTGGCAGGCGCAGGTGCAATGATCGTTGGTGTAGGTGATGAGAACGTGGTTGCAGGTGTCGGTGAGATTCTTGGAGCTGGTGCTGCTGGTGCGACCGTGGACAACATGGTGATTGGCAGCTCCCCTCCTGAGCGCTTGGCCAAGTCAGCACCTCGCTCGAGCCCCTCTTCAAGGAGCGTGTAACAATCGTTGGACAGGGCGTCCACCTGACGCCAGTCAACAAACTCATCCAGCTCCGGAGCCGCCCCCTCCTCCAGCACCCAGATAACCTCCAACACCGTCTGTATCACGGTTTCCACCCATTTCGCCCTCCACCCATTTCGCTCCTGAGATTGCTCCCCCAACAACCTTTGGTGGAGGCGGAGTGGAGACAGAGAGGAGAGAGACCATATGAAGATGTTGCCTGCTGTCTTCCAGGCTGGATAGCCATGCATCAGCAGCTTGTCGGAGATTCCCATCTGAAGCCATGTGGACGACGTCAACTTACCTGCTGTTCTGGCTCCCGTTACTTGTTGCCGTTCCTATTGTCGCGCAAAGACACTCCAGTAGCAATAGACACGATGCTCACTAAAGCTTCGCTGCCATGGCCGCCGCCGCGCGCCGCCCTGACCCTCCACCGTTACGAAGACGACCTCGGCTAGTCCGAGGACGTGGAGCGGATGCCCGCCGAGCCTTGTCGGGCGGGAGCACTCCGTGCGTTCATGCTTGCATGGTGATAGGAGTTGAAACCATCTGTTAATGACGCTGCCGACCTCCTTCCCGTAAGGGCCTCCGCCTCGCCACATGCCCACAGCAACTTCTCCAACCTTTTTTTTTTTTTTTTTTTTTGTCAGTAAAGGTCTCGGAACTTCTCCAACGGTAGAAATTGACCTAAATGCTAAAAAAGTTAAACAAAACAACATAGTCCCTATCTGTTGGTGAAACTTCTTCAACATGTTGCTTTCGAGGCATTCCAAGGGACAACCAAGGGTAGCTGTTGGGACGACGCTGACCGGAGCTGGGGCGAGTCGTGTTGCTCTGTAACCTAGCCGGGTGGGGGTGTAAGACAGTGTTGGACAGTTTTAGAGAGTTTTGTTTGGGAGTCTAGGGGTTCTGAGCATTCGAAAAGAGGTCAGTAGTCATTCACTGTTTTTTAACCTCTCCTTTAATTCTCTTGAATTTCTTCAATAGTTCTTAGATTCATTCTCAGCCGAAGCCGGGTAATGGCCCCGGTATCTCAAATGACTTGTGTAACTCTATATGGGACGCTGGGCCCGGTTCCCAGCACGTGCTGCTCCCCACGAATAGACAGGAGCATTTGTCCTAAAAAAAAAAAAAAAAAAAAAAAAGAATTGGCTGGGAAAATGACATAAAGGAAACCGAAGCGGTACCCAAGACCACTTTGGTTTCTCATACCTGTCCCGCCTCTCATGCATCCTATAGAGTGGTCGTAGCAGGACGGGTCCTACGTACTTACGATGCCTGCAGGCGGGCCCCCGTTAAAATCTTACGATGCCTGCGGGATGGGCTTCATCCGGGATAGTGCCTGGTCTGTCATACCCACTGGAGAGGTCACTAAGGGGTACACATCAAGGGGATTCCTCCAGGTAGTAGACTCATCTGGGAAAAGGGTAGGGTGGTTATCGTACCGTTCATAGAAGTGTGGTTCGCCACCAGAGTCTGTGAGGTTGATGCAGGTTGGAAATAGCCCAATCTGCTCCGGGTCGTCCCTGAGTAATCAGGGTGTCCTCTATGGTAGCAGTCAGGGGTCTGTAGCTAGATCCTTGGCACATTGCGGGTTTGGGAGCCTTGGTCTAGTTAGGCTAGGTCTAGGTAACCAGCTATAGGGGCTCGACTTATGACAGTTAAAAGTAGCACAGTTAAAAGTGTAGTCTCCATGGTTAGGTATCCCCAAAAATGTGGATCCTCTAAGTCATCCCCCCACTGGTTGAACATGCAAATCAGACACTTCCCGAGGCATAGAGCCCAGCCGCTACTACCACATGGATTTTTTTTTAAAAAACAAAAAAAACAAAAAAACAAAAAAAACAAAAAGACATAAGAGCCCAGAGGGCAGGAGGAACCCTTATCTGTCCAAGCCTCAGGCCAAATCTCAAAGCAAGAGGGTTATTTGAGAGCTGGGGCGAGGACTCTTGAAACGGCGATTATTGCAGGCTTTAGCGACTCCATGTTTCGAGATTTCCCATGGAATGTGGATTCTAACACCTCACAATTTTTTTTTTAGGTTGGAGTTTCGTCAGGCTTCGTCTCCATGCCAAACTCCAGAATTTTCTAGATTCGAGAGTGGTGTCACGGACCCATGATGGTAAGACCCTCTGTGGCCGTCAGCTGCCGGTAACTGGCCGCTGATTTCCTGACAAGCATTTTTCATTTGATTACGTATGGACTTGGCTGCTTTACCAACGTGTTTCCTAGGCATTCTCAGTACTCTGCAACATTTTTCAGTATTCTTGGCTTGACAACAATAAGGCCTTCTATGGACAGTTGGTGGACAGCTGTGGGTGGTGGGCAGGGGCTGGGTGAAGGAGGGAGTCTCCACTGGTGGCCCCCCGGTGGACCTCCCCCCAACACCCGACCGTGCCACAGGTTGGGCGGGGAAATACAGTTTCGAGATGGGACGCTGGACCCGGTTTCCAGCACAAGTGGTGTCCTGTTCAAAATAGAGAAGTGGTAAAGATGTATTCGAGGGACGCTGGACCCGGTTTCCAGCAGGTGATGCCCCCCACCAATAGATGGAGCGGTGTTGTCCAAAAAAAAAATTGGTACACCCATGCGCTATGGAAATGCAGACCTGAGTTCAGATCCATATGAACTTCATGAATGAAATCAAATAATTCTACAGCGCCTGGGACTGGCCAGTTTGACAATGATATGCCAAGGCTGTCACCCCTTTAAACCACAGACTGAGGGCCTCGTTCGACACCACTTGAACTCAAGGGCTGAAGGAAAATTCTTCGTTCGACCTCACCCTAACCTGGCCGCGGGGTTGTTTCTACTTTCCACCTCTCTAGTGCCAGCCCTCGAAACTCGAGCGCGGCCGGGGCAAAATTGCGCTTGAACTCAAGGTACCTCTCTGGGGAGCCTTGACTTCAAGTGCCAGCAGATACCACCAGCACTCCAAGTGGGGCTTTTCTTTGTTTTTCTTTTTTCCCAGCAGGCGATCCTGCCGTGGAGTTCGGTCTCTGTTTTTTTTTTTTTTTTTTTTTATGGGAATAAGGCTCCAATCTATTTGTGGGGAGCAGCATGTGCTGGGAACCGGGCCCAGCGTCCCATACGGAAATTTACATAGAATTTTGAGATACCGGGGCCATGGCCCGGCTTTGGCTAAGAAAATTTTGAGCTACTTAGAAAATTACTACGACAAACTTCAGAAAAGGTCTGCCCACAACAAAACACGCCACCACAGAGGTCCTACAAATGCTCAAAAGCCTGTGCATCCCTAGCAACCCTTCTAAAGCTCTCCAGCACTGTCTTACTCCCTGCCGAGCTATTCCCGGCCTCAAACCCCCAGCCTGCTGGGTTACAGGGCAATACGACTCGCCCCAGCTCCGACCAGCGTCGTCCCAGCAGCAACCTTGGTTGTCCCTTGTAATTCCCACCCCAAAGCATCCCCAGATCTCTCTACCAGGCCTCACACTCCTGCATCAGCAGGTTACAGGGCAACACCCCAGCACCGGCCAGCGTCGTTCTGGCATCGAACAGCCGCAGATCACTGAGTAGATCAGCAATGGAGCCGTCTAAGATGAGTTGCTAGGAGTCCCCAGAATCCTAGATCATTCTTAAGACCCCCATTGGCAACCATCAACAACCAACAAAACCTTGGATCAAGCTTCCAGCGATCAATGTGTGCCTAGTAACTGGCCTCTACAACACCCTGGACTTAACAAAAAAAAAAAAAAAAGGAAAGCAGGAATTACTGCAGGAAAGGGAAAGACAGAGCCCAGAACCACAGCGGAGTACGGGGGAATAGAGAAATGGAGGGTAGCCCTGTCTCCTGGAATTGGGTGTCAAACACGGGTCATAGAATCGGGTCGCAGGACTACAGACAACATAATTCTTTTTTTTTTTTTTTTTTTTTTTTTGAGAGAACAACCCGATCGGATGCTAGGTGTGCTGATAAGAGCAGACACATCTAGCACCGTCGGGGAGGCTCCATCTATTGGTGGGGAGCAGCACCTGCTGGAAACGGGGTCCAGTGTCCCTTTGATACATCTTACAATACAGAGATTGCTGTTTGTTGTTCCCCGGGGCTGCGGCCAATTCAGACTCAACTTTGTGCTCCGAGATCCCATGGAGCTGCTAGTGTCACCCGTCCCTTCTTAGGAGCACCGCTTATCTCTGTTACTTGGGTAAGTGGAGAGTAGCACAACAGTGGGACTGTCTCCATCCCCTCCCCTCCCCCCAGGAACAGCCAATGGGAACTGACTATACTGCCCCCTCCATTGGACCGCCAAAGATGCTAGCGACCCACGCTGGGGTGTACGGGGATGTAGCATAGAAAGGGCCACCAATCTGTGTCAGCTACCTGACCAACTTGGGATGGGCGAACCCGGTACCTAGTACGATTCACAATTGCATGTCTGATCACACAAACAACCACATTGTTCAGGGACGCTCTCCACCATTTCCAGCAGGTGCTGCTCCCCACCAATAGATGGGGCCTACCCGACACTGATAGGGGTGCCTGCTCTCATCAACACCCCTAGCATTAGGCCGGGCTGTTCACCCAAAAAAAAAAAAAAAAAAAAAAAAAAAGGAACATTCAGACCGAAAAAAACACCTGCCTTAGTGCTTTAATCAGCCCAACCCTATCTGCCTCCCCCCTATGTCCCGATACTCAATCTCTACCAGGCCTCACAACCCCAACTGGTAGGTTACAGAGTGGCACGACCCAGTTCGGTCTCAACTGCGCGTTTCAAGTGTTTTGTGAAGTGCCCATGGAACGAAGATTGCAGTAAGTATTTTTTAATCACGATTTTCGGGTTAGGGCGCACTTGAGACTCTAGGGTTCTCTAGTGCTGTAGAACGAGCCCTGAGTACCTTTCTCAGCTATTGATGCCTAGCCTAAATTCGCCCTGCGTGCGAAAAAACAAACCGGCACAGGCCTCATTTTGGCTGGCCCTGCCAGCCATTTTTTCGGTCCGGTAGCGCTGAGCCCCGCCGGCCTCCGCGTTTCCCGTCGCGTCATGCCAAAAAGCTGGGAAAGGTACTGGTGGTTTGAAGAAAAGAAAAGAAAAA